TCTTTGAAAATCAGTTTCTCGCTCCTTCATTCATTAACTCACAGAAGACCATATCATTCTTCTTTTCCAATGTGTAGACACAAGTGCCAGCTTCATCTGCGTAGTCACAAGTGCCGTCTTCGAATAGAAGACACAGGGCTGGATTTTAGCATCTCTGCTGCCTTTTTTTTTTTTTTTTTTTTTTAGGTAGAGTCTCGCTCTGTTGCCCAGGCTGGAGTGCAGTGGTGTGATCTTGGCTCACTGCAACCTCTACCTCCTGGATTCGAGCAATTCTCCTGTCTCAGCCTCCTGAGCAGCTGGGACTACAGGCATGCGCCACCATGCCCAGCTAATTTTTGCATTTTTAGTAGAGACAGGGTTTCACCATGTTGGCCAGGATGGTCTCGATCACCTGACCTCGTGATCCGCCACCATGCCGGCCCACTGCTGCCCTTTTTTAGGTCCTCTGTGCAAGGCACATACCTTAAAATGATTTACAATGGCCCTGACGGCCCTTAACCCCACCCAAACTGCTCATCAGCACCTTTGCCCAAACAGATGTCCCAAGAATGGGAGGTGTATGTTCTCCTGATGAGAAAAGTTGGACTTTCTCCTAATCTTAACCATGAATCTCTACACAATCAGCAGTTCTGACAGTCCTGAGGTTGACAAAGACCAGGAAGTTAAGTAATGGTGACTGAAGCTCCCGCAGCCTGCAGTGTAGAAATAAATGCGCCTGTACCCAGCCCCACCCTGCCATGTCTCAATACAACCAGAGTGGTGCCCCGCGTGCATTCTGTCTGCAGCCCCAGTTTTTAAATCCTGCAATGTTGAGAACCTTTGAAATTTAATAAAAGGCTAAACGGGCACATCCAGCTGCAAAAAACAAGATTGACAAGATCAAATTTTGTGTCACCTGTGAAAAACACCTGGCCAGTTGTAGTTTGCTGTACCAGCGCTGGGAGGCACACTTGGGACTGATACACTCTTGTTGAATTTCTCGAAGAAGGCATATCATTGTTGCAGTTCCAAGCATGTAAGGCATCCAGAGCGGCAGTGAGGGGTAGCTTCTAGTACTCAATTGTTTGCTCAATGTAGAATGCTTTGGTGGTAAAAGGACGTCATTTAATTTCATGTTGCAGTTAGGAAAGCCAAAAATCAGGGTGGTGGCCTGCCCAGAATCACACAATGAGTCAGGGCTGAGCTGAAGCCACAGCCTGCAGACCACTTCTCTGTATTCACCCTGTCATTCATTCACGCATACAATGGCTTACTGAGCACCCACTATGCCGCAAGCACTGTGCTAGGTGCCGGGGACACAGATGATGATACAGACAAAGTCCCTGCCATTGTGGCATTTGAGACAGGAAATGCACAAGTATACAAATAAGCAAAACAAGGACAGATCCCGACAGAGGGGTCAGGTGAAGGCCGCAGGGAGAAGCGACAATGAAGCTGCCGCTTCATGAGATGAGATGAGATGAGACGAGAAGAGACGAGACGAGACGAGAGGAGATGAGACGAGAGGAGACGAGACGAGACCAGAAAGCCAGAGATGGAAAAACCAAGTGGAGGGTATTTCCAGCTGAAGGAACTGTGAGGACAAAGGCATGTCTGAGCAGCAGTGAGCAGTCTGGGTCGGCTGGTGTGTGGTAAGTGACACTGGGAGTGGACCGAGTGACAAGCGGGAAGGCAGACAAGAGGCAGATCATGGAAGCCTCAGCAGAGAGTTCGAATTTACTCTGAATGCAGTGGGAGGCCACTGAAGGGTCCAAGCGAGATGGAGAGGTGCTCTGATTTTGAATTCTAGGAGAGGCATCAGCTTCTGAGACACTACTAGCATTTCCCCTTTCTCACTGCTGGTGCCTCGTGGTGACCCTCCTCGCCATCTGGCTTCAGCACTGCAACGGAGGATGCCCACTCCTGTGTCCCCCGCATGACGATGGGACCTTGCCTGCCTGTTATGAACTGAATATGTGCCCTCCAAGTTCATATAGTTCATATATCAAAATCCTAACGAAAAAGGTGAGGCCTTTAAGAGATAATTAGGCCATGAGGGTAGAGATCCCTGAGCACTCTCTAGCCCTCCTTCTGCCATGTGAGAATAGAACAAGAAGGCAACCATCTGCAAACCAGGAATCAAGCCCTCCCCAGACACTGAATCTGTTAACATGTTGATCTCGGCCTTCCCAGCCTCCAAAACTGTAAGAAAGAGATGTCTGTTGTTTAGGCCACCCAGTCTGCGGTGTGTTGCTACAGCAGCCCAAGCTAAGACACTACCCATGTCTTCTGCCTCCACCACAGAGATCTCTGGCTGCAGAGAAAAAGCAACATCCAACAGGTGGCCATGCGTGGCATCTTCCGGTCACTCTGGTTCAGCTGGGTCCTACCTATGTGGGCCAGGCCCCTCTCCATCAGGGGGTTTCCAAGAAACGTCTCCTTTCCCCATAAGAGGAAGCAGCGGCAACCACACATTTTCCCCCTGTGGTTGCCTTTTGCAGCGTGAGAGGCTCACAGGGCTGCAGAGAAGGGCTTAGATTCCACTCTGGTGTCTCGCAGATTCCAGGCCTGGGCAGCGAGTAGGCAAGAAAACTGGAACGTTACGGGGCACAACCCAGGGAGGAGAGGGCGCAGGGCATTCCAGCCTCACTGTACACAGGGAGCCACACCACCAGGCCCTCTGCTGGGCAGGGGGAGGCGGAGATGACTGAGGTATGGCCCCTGCACTTACGGGGTGCCCCAGCTAGCAGGCCAGAGGCACAGCATTCATGGCACTCCTCATGAGCTCCGCCCAGAGACAGACCTTTGCAGGTATGGAGGTTCTTAATGACAGTGATGGCACTGCAGAGAGGTGGGATTGCAGGGCATGTCAATAAGCAAGGTCAATAGGTAATCAGGGACATTATAGAGCCTCCAAAGAAAAAGACAAGCGATAACGGTTTTAGAATAATAAGAACTGCCAGCACTTGTACAGCACAGAACAGTGTTGTTCTAAGTGTTTGGCTCATCTGAACTCCTCTTGAGGTTCACAAGCCTATGAGGTTGTTGCAGAAGCAAATACAGGAGAAATCTCCATGCCCTCCAAGGATGACACTGGCTCAAGGCAGAATGCTTTGGTACTCGGAGGGCTTCTTTAAATTTCATGTTGCAATTAGGAAAGTCGAAATTCAACCATATCAAAGGACTAATATGGTTCTTTAAAGTTGGCAACTTCTATTCATCACAAAACTCCATTAAGAGAGTACAAAATACAAACTGCAGGATGGAAAAAGATATTGAGAAGCCCATAAACCCAAATGAATACATAAAGAACACCTACAAACCATTAAAAATAATCCAGTCAATAATGAGCAATGGCCTTGAACAGACACTTCACTGGAGAAGGTATAAGGATGGCAAATAAGCCCATGAAAAGATGCTCAACATCATTAGTCCTTAGGGAAATGCAACTTAAAACCATGATGAGAGACCACTGCACATTAATGCGGTAGTACACTGAAAAACACTGACCAGGCCAGGCACAGTGGCTCACATTGGTAATCTCAGTGCTTTGGGAGCCCAAGGCAGAAGGATTGCTTGAGGTCAGGAGTTCAAGACCAGCCTGGGCAACATAGTGGCCATAATGGTCTATCTCTACCAAAAAAAATTATTAGCCAAGCATGGTGACATACCTGTAGTCTTAGCTACTCAGGAGGCCGAGGTGGGAGGATCATTTGAGCCCAGGAGTTCTAGGTTGCAGTCAGCTATGATGGTACCACTGCACTCCAGCCTGGGTGATAGAGTAAGACCCCGTCTCTAAGATAATAAGAATAATGACCACATCAAGTGTAGGTGAGAAGGTGGAGCACCCGGAATTCTCATACACTGTTGGTGAGAATACAAAATGGCACAGTCACTCTGGAAAATATTTGGCGTAATCTAGTATAGTTGAAGCTATCCATACTCTGAGACCCAGCAATTTCACCTCAGATAAGTACATGGACTTGGAGAAATGTGTAAGAATATCATCAGGGGCATTGATCATGATGGCCTTCCTAGGGACACCCCAAGTGTGCATCAAAAGACAGTAACAACAAAAAAAGATAAATGGCAATGTATTTAAATAATGTAGCAACAGAAAACCAAACACCGCATGTTCTCACTCAGAAGTGGGAGTTGAACAATGAGAACACATGGACACAGGGAGGGGAACATCACACACTGGGGCCTGTTGGGGGATGGGGACCAAGGGGAAAAGAGCATTAGGACAAATACCTAATGCATGCAGGGCTTAAAACCTAGATGACGGGTTTTGATGGTTTCAGCCAACACCATGGGCACATATATACTATTAAAACCTGCAGCGTTTCTACACTCATATCCAGAATTAAAGTAAAATAAATAATAATATAATGTAGCACACAACACATGATGAAAAAAAACTAGCTTACCAGAATGCTAGTGAATCTTAAACACATAAGTGTGCTTGAAGAAGCAAGCCATGGCCGGGCGCGGTTGGCTCACGCTGGTAAATCCAGCCACTGTTTTGGAGACGAGGTGGGCGGATCACAGGTCACGGAGATCGGAGACATGGTGAACCCCTCTCTACTAAAAATAGAAAAATTAGCCGGGCGCAGTGGCAGGCCCTGTTAGTCCCCAGCCTTACTCGGAGGCTGAGGCGGATACTGGCGTGAACCGGAGGCGGGCTTGGCAGTGAGCCGGATGCCGCCATGCACCTCGCCTGGGGCGACAGAGGCAGACTCCGTCTCAAAAAAAAAAAGAAAGAAGCCAAGGCACTGGAGTACAACAGTATGCTTGGCTCTTTATATAAGATTCACAAATGAGTAAAATGAAACTGAATTGTTTGAGGATCTCATAGGTGGTAAATTTCTAAGGAAAAGCAAAGTAGTAACCCCCATCTGAATCAGGACTGTGACTACTTCTCATGGAGGGGAAGGGAATCATGGCTCAGAAAAAAACATGTGGTAAACTTCTGGGAGAGCCAGCAAAGTTCTTTTTTTTTTTTTTTTTTTTTTTTGTCTGATTTCCTCTCTTGCTGTCAAGGCCACAAAGATGGGTGGCCATGAATCACACCACTGCCCTGGGGTTTCGCTTCCCTGGTACTTTCTGTTGGTGGTGATGGATACAACTTTGCTCAGAGAAAAGGCGCCAGATGGAACTGTAATTCCACCCCACTGCTCTTCTATGTCAGTCACTGGCTCTGTGTCCCACCAGCTCTGTGACCCAAGCCTCGGTTTTCCCATCTGTTCAAGGGGCATGACGGTCCCCATCATGCTTAGCTCATAGAGTAGAATAATGAACGTGAAAGGGCTCTGAGAGCTAATGCCTGAATGCCAGAGATCAATGGGGATTTGAAGGACAGCCAGACCGCTGCAAGGCTGCAGGGAGAGTGAGGCTGAGTTAGATCCCACAGGGCTGGCCCTGCACTGCCTTGCCGTTCCCTGCGCTACCCGGAAGAAGAGGTGGCAGGCTGTCAGTTGAGTTCAATATACCATGTTTCACCAGCCAATGGGCTGGGGCGATCAGGAGCAGGTCACACAGCCTGTTTCCTGTTTTCAAACGGGGAACTTAGAAAGTGTCAGTCCCTCGGCTGGTCGCCGGAGCTGAGAACCAAGAGCTCGAAGGGGCCATGTGACACTCCTCTCGGACCCCTGGACACGCACAGCCCCAGAGACTGGAGGTCAGTATTTGATCCCAAACTCAGCTGTCCTCTGCCTGCTGTGGCCTGAGTCCCCTCCTCCTGGGACCCTGCCTGGCACCTGTTGGGGGGAGGGTGGGAGGGGAAAGGATTAGTGACAGCCACTGTGTCTGGAGCTCTCCTTAGCGCAGTGAGGCAGAGGAAGGGACAGCTCCTGGACCCTCCATCACCTCCATTCCTTTTGAGATGCTAGGCGCTTGTACAACCCATCTTGGGCCTGGAGAATAAGTCATCACACCCGTGTTTCTCAAAAAAAAAAAAAAAAAAAAAACGGTGTCAGGGAATCCCTGCGTCAGCATAGCTTTAGGGGACTCGTGGAAAATACAGAATCCAGGTCTGTTCAATGACACTTTCCTGTGTTAGGAGCCAGGAAACCTGCTTTTGAACAAGCCCCTGGGATCCCACCCCCACCCCACCAGGGGATTCTTACGCACACTGGGTTGGGAGCCCCTGGCTTTGGCAAGGCTTCTCAGGTGAGCGTCCAGTTGTTGGAGGGTACCCACCCTTTCCCCAACAGAGGCAGCCACACATCCAACGTCCGGGGATCTCCTGTCTCCCAGAGTGGGCCAGGAGCTTTATTTCACCCCCTAGAGGCTCCTCCCCCATGAAAAGTCCTCTGCAGGCCTTCAGAAAGATGGTGTGGCCTCTGTGTGCCCAGCAGAAGAAGGACTGGACTTGGCAGTCAGCTTTTGGAGAGGGGGGTGGTCAGGACACCTGGGGACAGGAGGAGGGGAATGACTGTCTATGCACACAGAGCGGGAAGGTAGAGGGGACTGGGAAGCTGCTCTGTTCCCTGGGCCAACTACAGGCCTCCAGGCCAACAGCACCAACATTTATAGTATTTTGTTATAAAGTCAAGAAATCTTTGCTACAGAGAGTGAGGAGAGGGGAGGAAAGGGCCATGGAATCGTCTATGTGGCTGTCCCCAGAGAGCTTTTAGAGCGACAGGATTGCTTTCCCATTTCACAGATGAGGACACTGAGGCCTGGAGAGGGATAGGAAGCTACCCAAGACCCCACGGATACACCAGTGCACAACTCTTTCCTTCCCCTTCCTCTTTAAATGGGTGATTCCCAATGAAACCTGTAAGAGACAACTATAAGGGAGCTGACTGTGGCTGCTGAATTTGATTTTTATCCTAAGGCCTGGTTTCATAATCAGCTTTCTCAGTCTTTTCTGGAGTGTCAAGCTGAGGCATCATTTCTAGGGTCTTACAGGGTCTCTGGGCCAATAGTGCCCTGCTTCTGATCTGGAGCCAGCTGCCTGGTCATGCAAACAGGTCTGCAAAGGTTGGGGCCCCCGAGGCCAAGGCCACTCACCATCACCCACTTTACAGAAGTGCTGAGCATAAGAGTGCCCTGGGCCCCCAAGAATCCCAGCCACCAAGAATCACATAGACCACCCGCTGTCTCACTTAGACACCTACCAGAATGTAGGAAACCCATCCCTAGTCATCCATCATCTTATCAACAGGATGAGGCTTGTAGCCACACTTTTCAGGTGGGGAAACAGAAGCGTAGAGATATTAAAGCACTTGCTTAAGGACACACAGTTGGTCAGGATGGAAGGCAATGTCTCCTGACTCCCTGACAGGGACAAGAGACAAGCGAGAGGTGCCCGTGACAGCATGCTCAAGAATGTGCAGCCCTGGGCCAGCCAGGCCCCTGTTCCATGTCTCTGTTTGCCCATCTGTAAAAGGTGAGGTTGGATCAAGGGTCCCTAAGGGCCTCCCACTGGACGGCTATGCAGAGCCACATGGAGAAGGTCCCAGGGTTCCTTTCACCCTACACAGCAAGCACTTCCCCATGAAGTGCAGACTCTGGGCCCCAGCTGACCTTCCCTCTCCCAGGCCAGGAGCTCTCATCCCTGGAGCAAGGGACAGGCGCTGGCTGTGCTCAGGGACATGCATGACCTCCACCCCCGTCTGTGCTCAGGGGGTGCCAGGAAGGCATTGGCTCTATCTTTCTCTAGGCCGTAGTCAGCCCAGGGGTTCAGATCAAGGGCACAGAATCCAACAGACCAGAGTTCAAGTCCCAGCTCTACCTCTGTGTTCCACCAGCAGCTTCCTCAGGTCCTAGTAGAAAAAGGTGAGGTCACTTGCACCTTCCTTGTCTTGAATTTCCATGCCTAACCAGTATACCAGCTACTCGCTCCAGCCTAGCTTTAATTGTTCCTTTTTCTAAGTTGTCTCAAACATTTGTAATTCTATTCCAATCCACCTTAATTTAGTCATTTAATTCACAAATACTTCTGGAAACATCTAGCACTTACCAGACACTAAGAGCGGGGGTACTACACAGTCTCCGGAATGGACAGGGCCCTGAGCTGAGGCTTCAGAGTCTGCCTGACTGAATCCTCACCCCAGCCTTGCGAACGTGGGTTCTGTTATTATCCCCAATTTATAGGAAACAGAAGCACAGAGAAGTTGAGTCACTTGCCAGCTACCAGGTCATCCCATCCACTTATCCAGGTCACAGACGGAGTTATTATGTAAACCGGATCCCAGCTGCCTGTTCTCCCTCCCTGAGTAACGTGGAGAGAATTCTGAAGTCAGCCCAGCCTGGGTCTGTATCCTGCCCACCACTCACCAGCTCTTTACCTTCGGCAACGCTAAGTCTCAGTTCCCTTATCATAAAAGGGAGCAGCAAACAGTCCTGAGTGCAGGCGGTGGTCAGGTTAGCGTGAGAGTGTGTGTTGGGTGTCAAGCGCACCGCCAGCACGTCACAAGCACTGGAGACAAACTCAGCTTTGCTTGTTGCGCACACTCACCAGCTGCGTGACTTTGGGCTAGACCTCAGTTTTCTCATCTGTTATGTGGTGGTAATGATAGACTTTTGTGAGCATTAAACTAGATTAGGGGCTGTGAAGAACCTAGGTGGGTATGAAGTGGGTATAAGCTATCAGTTAATTTTGCTGATAGATAGATAATTGATTGATTGATCGATAGAAGATTCATACCAGTATCTACCTGCTCTGAACACTGAGCTTTCTTTTTTTCTTTTTGAGATGGTCTTGTTCTGTCATCCAGACTGGAGTGCAGTGGCGTCATCGTAGCTCACTGCAGCCTCAGTCTCTTGGGTTTAAGGGATCCTCCTGTCTCAGCCTCCCAAGTAGCTGGGGCCACAGGCATGCATCCTGGATAATTTTTGTTAATTTTTTCTAGAGACGGGGTCTCACTACATTGCCCAGGCTGGTCTCAAATTCCTGGGCTCAAGTGATCCTCCTAACTCAGCCTCCCAAAGTGCTGGGATTACAGGCATGAGCCACCGTGTTCAGCTTGAACACTGAGACTTCATTCGCATGTGTAACATAAAAGTGAGTGTCTGCACAAGCCAGCATCTTTCGCTCGAGTAATCACTAAAGCCAATACTTTTGCTTGAAATCATCTCATTTAAAACCCTGAGCAATACGTAAGGATCACCTCAATTACACATGGATCATCACAATAGGTGAAGGGTCTTCTCTGCCTTGGAGTAACCTGCCCAGCAAAGGGGCAGACCCAGGTCTGGGATCTGGCAGCTGGGAGAGTGGGGAAGGTTGAGCCGTGGGGCCATTGTCATTCCCTCTGACTGCCAGGAGGGGGCATGACACAGCTCCTAGGCACCCCAGGAGACACCGGGAACCCCAACTGGAGTGGGTACTCACTGTTCTCTTGTTCCTCTGGCAGGCTTGGAGCATGGCAAGTCCAGAGCACCCTGGGAGCCCTGGCTGGAAGGGACCCATAACACAGTGCACAGCAAGGACCCAGCAGGAAGCACCAGCCGCTGGCCCTGACCTCCCGCACCCAGGACCTGACAGGCATTTAGGTGGGCTTGAGGCTTGAGACTCGGTCTGGGGGAGAGGTCTGAAGGCATTCAAAGTACAAATGTAGGTCACTTTGGCGGATATAGCAAGAGGCCCGGGCAGCTCTTGTAACTTGGGTTATCCCAAAGCAGACACTGAGACACAGATTTGGTGCAAGCTGTTTATCTGGGAGATGGTTCTAGGAGTCACGGCAGGGGAATGGGAATGGCAGAAAAGGGCAAGAGGCCAGGGCAGGACATCAGTGAACAGATAGGCATGATAAGTGGCTGAGGCTCAACCCTAGCGGGGGTCTTCTGGGAGACCTTGGAATATATCTCTGGGTTGTGCTATCCTGGGGTGAGGGAGCCGGGCTGTTATCTACCAGTCCTGCCCTGCAGAGGAGAAGGGACGCTCCTGGGCCTGCTGCTATGGCCCTAGAAAGCCCTCAGGGAAGCCAGTGGCATGTTCTGGAAAAGTGGGTGCCAAGAGGGCATGGTCCAGCCTGGGGCATGGACAGCATCTGCTGTAGTGCCATCTCCTGGAACAAATCTTCTCTTACAATCCTTCAAGATGCCCCTACTCAATACCTGCTCTGTTCCTGGCCCTATGCAGGGCACTGGGGAAACAGAAACAGGAACAAATCAAACACTGCACTAGTCCTGAGGTTTGGTAGAGAAACAGATCAGTGAAAAATAGATGTGCCATGAAAAACAAATAAAAATAAAAAACTATAGGAACAAGGTGGGAGGCTCTTACTCTAATGCCAAGGGGCATGTGCAGTGATGTGGGGGCTTGGTCTTGAAGGGTAGACTGGAAAAGAGCTGGAAACCATGCCCTTTGTGATAAAATGCACAATTATTTGCGCTTCTCAAGAAGCTCAGAGGGGCGCAGGGCTCAAGTGGGGTTTAGGAAACACTGTGTTCGTTTTCCAGGCATGGAAATAGAGGGTTGGACGCCAGGCAGAGGAGTGCACATCCGAGAAGAGCCTAGCATGTAAGCAGTTAGATGAGAAGGTTAGGAAGGGCCAGCCCGCTGACGCTGGAACATAACATCCTTATTGCTGCCTCCCCTGCCCACTGATGTGTGCTCAAGGAGTCCTGGCGACAGTCACAAAGTCAGGGCTGCAGGGAGCACAGAAACACACAAGTCAGTCTCTGCTTGTCCAGAGCGGGGATTTCACCATGGCCAATCTGCAGACCAGAAGTGGACGATGCAAAATGCCCACACCACATTCCACAGCTAAGAAACCACTTGGGGGTGATGGGCTATTTGAGATTGTCAGTGGTAGGGTGGATTCTGCCAGGCTGGGCACAGAGGTCTGTCTGATGCCCCAATTGGGCCTATCAATGGCGGAGTGGGAGAGAGGGATATTCAGTACTCTTTAGGAGTTCTGATATCCCATCTCAGATAGACCCAGCCATCTCCCCAAGCCATGCCTCGAAAGTGCACTGAGAGGGTGCAGATCCTTAAGGGTGTTGTCCTTCCAGATATGCATAGTGGCCTGAGCTCCAACTCCAGCATGACCACGCGGGAGCTCCAGCAGTACTGGCAGAACGAGAAATGCCGCTGGAAGCACGTCAAACTGCTCTTTGAGATCGCCTCAGCTCGCATCGAGGAGAGAAAAGTCTCTAAGTTTGTGGTAAGCAGAGATCGGGAAATGGTGGAGCCTCTGCTTCCTTCCCGGCCCTGAATAAGTCTTGTGGGGCCTCAGGTTTCCCAACTATGAAATGGGTCAGGACACTTCAGGCTCAGCACCTGCTAGGGTCTGTGAGGATTCGAACCATGGAAGTCATGCTTCTTGGTCCCAAGAAGGAAATAGCCCAGTTTAATCCCATCTTATCGGGTGTCGGTCACCTGTGTCCTTTCTTCACCAATTTTGCCATATCCCTGTATCCATTATAATTATTACTACTTATTTTTTCTTTAAATTGGATCACTTTTTAAAAACACAAAGTACATTTATTTCAAAGAGAAATACCTTAAATGGAAAACCAATATCACATGGCACAAAGAAAAAGTAACATACTAGAAAAGTCGAAACAAGGAAAATCAATACAAGGAAAGCTATGCGCTGTTATTAAATTCTAGCTGGGTACTGTGACTTCAGGAAAGCCCTGCGCCTGGGGATTGCTCTCCCTGTTAGACTGGAATTTTAGCTTGTGTTAAGGAGATGTTAAAGACTGCCTAAGAGCCACACTTCATCCTTCTCCTTCACTTATCTGGGACCAGGATAAATAACGAAGCTGCCACTGAATGCCAATGGCATGCTGGGCACAGCTCCATGTGGTTTCAGTGCATTAACTCATTTAATCCTCACCGGGTGAGGTAGGCACTATGCCTCTCCTTGTTTTATGAATGAGAAAAGTGAGACTCGGAGAGGTTAAATTACTCATCTAAAACAACACAGCTAGACCATGGTGGGACTGTAATTATAACCCATGCAATCTGGCTCTGGAGTCAGATGCATGGGTTATAATTGCCCTTAATATATAATTGCCTGTAATCAGGATTCTCTTGAAAGAGAATTGAAAAGGGATGATTTTCTTACCATATAACGGCATCACCAGTGTACCTAAATGATGTTATATTGTACCTAAAACTAACTCCCAAATGTGAAACATTTGGAAAACACAGCATCTCAGTTCAGAAAAAGGAGACCCAGTTTTAGCAAGTAAAGCCAAGAGGGACCCCAGCAGCCTGCAGGGCAGGACCCTCTGCCCTTTTTCCTCCCAGATGTCCCCACCTTGCTATGTTGTTGTTCCAAGGTTGACTCAGCTGATGTCAATAGTAATTTAAAACACAGTGGCTCAGGCCTGTAATCCCAGCACTTTGGGAAGCCCAGGTAGGAGGATCGCTTGAGCTCAGGAGTTCAAGACCAGCCTGGGCAACACAGCCAGACCCCATCTCTAAAAAATAAAAAAAACAAAATCAGCCGGGTAGTGGGTGTGCCTGTAGTCCCAGCTACTCAGGAGGCTGAGGTGGGCGGGTCACTTGAGCCCAGAAGCTCAAGGTTGCAGTGAGGTATGATCGCATCACTGTACTCCAGCCTGGGTAACAGTGCGAGACCCTGTCTCTAAAATTTAATTAATTAGTTAATTAATAAACAGAATTGCATATAAGGATCGCCCGTTTTCAGGGCATGCTTTACACCGGCCTGGTTAACTTTACTCTCGGGGTACTGCGTCCACCGCAGCCCCCGCCAGGAGGTGGCCACGGCTCTCTCTGGTTGCGCCCTAGGTGTACCAAATCATCGTCATCCAGACTGGGAGCTTTGACAACAACAAGGCCGTCCTGGAACGGCGCTATTCCGACTTCGCAAAGCTCCAGAAAGCGCTGCTGAAGACGTTCAGGGAGGAGATCGAAGACGTGGAGTTCCCCAGGAAGCACCTGACGGGGAACTTCGCGGAGGAGATGATCTGCGAGCGTCGGCGCGCCCTGCAGGAGTACCTGGGCCTGCTCTACGCCATCCGCTGCGTGCGCCGCTCCCGGGAGTTCCTGGACTTCCTCACGAGGCAGGAGCTGCGCGAGGCGTTCGGCTGCCTGCGGGCCGGCCAGTACCCGCGCGCCCTGGAGCTGCTGCTGCGCGTGCTGCCGCTGCAGGAGAAGCTCACCGCCCACTGCCCCGCGGCCGCCGTCCCGGCCCTGTGCGCCATGCTGCTGTGCCACCGCGACCTCGACCGCCCGGCCGAGGCCTTCGCGGCAGGAGAGAGGGCCCTGCAGCGCCTGCAGGCCAGGGAGGGCCATCGCTACTACGCGCCTCTGCTGGACGCCATGGTCCGCCTGGCCTACACGCTGGGCAAGGACTTCGTGTCTCTGCAGGAGAGGCTGGAGGAGAGCCAGCTCCGGAGGCCCATGCCTCGCGGCATCACCCTGAAGGAGCTCACCGTGCGAGAATACCTGCACTGAGCCGGCCTAAGACCCCACAGGGACGCTGGAGATTTGGGGTCATCATGGCTCATGGTGGGCTGTTTGGGGTTCTTCTTCTTCTTTTTTCCTTTTTCCTTTTCTTTTTTGTTATTTGAGACAGTCTTGCTCTGTCACCCAGGCTGAAGTACAGTGGCTCAATTATGTCTCACTGCAGCCTCAAACTCCTGGGCACAAGCAATCCTCCCACCTCAGCCTCCCAAGTAGCTGGGAAACAGGTGCACGCCACCACACCAGGCTAATTTTTAATAATTTTTTTTTTTTTTTTTTTTTTTTTTTTTTTTGTAGAGACAGGGTCTCTCTGTTGCCCAGGCTGCTCTCAAACTTCTGACCTTAAATTATCTTCCTGCCTCAGCTTCCCAAAACACTGGGGTTACAAGTGTGAGCCACCACCCCTGGCCTGGGGTTCATTGTTAATGGGAAAAGCCATTGGGGGCTCTAACTCGCTGGGTGACTTTGAACAAGCCTGTCCTCTGGTCCTCAATTTCCCCATCTGTATCAGACAGAGGTGCTCCTGGGACCCCTTGGAAGCCTCCGCTTGTGTGCCACGTCCCCTTGATGCCAGGGCCATTTCATCTCCAAAACACAAACCCAACTGCCAAAAACATCCAGACCAGTGTCCACCCCACCAGTGTCTTTGTGGGAAGCTGGAGGAGAAGTTTACCTCGCACATTCTAGACAAAGCTTAGTCCATTTCCTTGAAGACAGTTCTCTCCAGCTGCTCCAAGGCTTTTCTCTCTGTTCCTTCCACCTCAGAATTGCTTTAAAATATTCCCATCCATTATCCTAATACTATCCTAGTATTCTAGCCCTTCCCCCTTACCATGTAGACCTGATGAAGCAAAACAAATCTCACCTACTGCCCTCAAGAACAGCCTCTACACACACACACACACACACACACACACACACACACACACGGTGGGAGTTGTATGCCATCCTTTTGAAGGGTGGGAGGACCCTGGGCCAGAAAGCAATAATGGCATAAGATTCTGTGATACAAGGCATTTTTGGCAAGGGAAGTTGCCAACAATTTTTCTGGCTGGGATGGCATAGCACATTGTCTAGGGGTGGATCTTCATTCATAAGGCAGCTGTTCCCTGAATGGCTTCCCTGGGTTATGTAGAAACAGCCCTGGGAGGAGTTGATACAACATACTTAATGGGGCTTCTGTGTAGAAGAGACTGAATCCTCAACACTGCCCCTTTTGAGGATCTGTGATCCTGGAACCTCTCTGATGGACTGGGATACCCTTGACTGAGGTCTGCTGTCTGGAAAGGACACCACAGGCCCAGAATGAAGGGGCATCTGGACCAATGACCTAGATTCAACACAGGGCTTGGAGCTGGTGGTACAGGCTGGTTTTGGCCCAATGTGTGTTGGAGGCTGGAAGCCCCTGAAGACCTAAACTGCCTGGATGAGCTCATTAGGGTGCATTAAAGAGTCTGTAATTTGGGAACCTTAATGTGCGGCACCACTTAAGGGGAGGGACTTGGCCCAGCAAGTGATCACTCTAGAATTGGACAAGTATACACTAGACTGCACCAGAATCTGTTCAACAGCGACACCTTGTGGTAACAACTGTAGACGCCCCATCAGGCTTGATGGGAGACTAGAAACGGACTTTCTTGTGTTTGGACAGATATCCCTCAAATCTCCCAATCTACTCTAGGGAAAAGACACTTCAAGTGAGAGATATTGGACTTCTTGAAAATCTAGGCCTATGGAAAATTAAAGTGTTAAATGGAAAAATTAAAGAGCTACGAGTCTATTTGTAATGACAGAACAGATTATATTGCTTTTGTCAGTTATTTCTTCAAATCTAAAATGCTATCAACTCTAAGATGCACCAAATGTTTACTAAGAAAAAAAATACCCAACATGGACAGTTTAATGCGGTATTACAGCAAAAAAAACCCTGGAAAACCAAAGAGTTAGACCCCTGATATAAGGATTAATACCAAATAAACCTGTTGTACAGGAGGGGACATTAAGAAAATTCACACAAATCAAACTTGGCACTGGGTGGAGTACAGGGAACTTCCTCTAAGAGTCTGAACTGCAAGCTGGCACTCACCCATGTTTTAGGGCTGACTACACGCAGCGTGGTCCAAAATCCCTCAAGCACAGAAATCATGTTAAAGTGGTCTCAGATGGAGGTGTTCCAGGGGCCTCAAGACCTGGAGATCTTCAGGTCTTCCCTGGGACTGAAGGATGTCAGCATCAAGCCAGGCCTATAAGGAGTGTAGGATCCCATTGAGTTCAGAGGTGCTGAAACGTGAAAAAAAAGAGTGCATCTCAAAATCACAGATAGATGATATGTGTGTGGGGTGTGTGTGTGTGTGCTGTGCACAGAGAGAGAAAATACTTATATGGGAGTAAAGGAGCCTATAGAATCACATGGGGGGCTCCCCATCAGTACCTCTGAAGAGGGGTTGGCTTCCCACACAGTGCACAGGAAATGGATTTATTCAGGCTTCCCAAAAAGGGACTGGCCACACGGGGCAGCTTCAGGACCATCACCTTGCCTCTTCCTGATGACACTCAGTGCTGCCCCTTCCTCGTGCTTCTGGCAGCCTTGGCCTGAGGGTCCATGGGAGTTTCTTCTGGCCATGGACATTGCATCTTCATCCACTACAAGTTGTCTGATGGCCTGGGATGGCCCGCCACAGTCAGCTCCTCCTGGAATCTCCCATATGCTGCAGCAATTAGAGCCCACTCATTCCTTGGGTTCCTGGAACAAGTCCTTGAATTCCTGAGGCCCCCTCCTCCAGCAAGCTTTCCGCAGGGCCCACTGCCGCCCCACCAGGGCACCCCACCTCCCCTGTTTGCCTGGGCCCTCTCCCACGCCACCTGTATTAGTCCTTGTTTCTAGGAGACTTTAGAGTGGCGGCAGCTGGGACTGAACCTTCTTCTCCTGACCCCCCAAAAGCTGGGTCCACAGGAGAGGTGAGGAGTACCTGACCTCCATACCCAGGAGGGAGCCTTGTTAGGAACACAGAATTTCAGGCCCAACCCTAGACCTGCTGAATCTGCACTTTAACAAGAGCTTCTCCTACTGCCACAGGTGGCTCTTACCTGTGTACCTCAAAGGTTGAGAAGCCCAATGGTGAACTGACTTGAAGGCACCTCGATGAAAATCATCCACGGAACTGGGCCGTCTGTGGTCCTGGGTTCATCCCCATCCTTGTCTTCTCTCCACCCGGGCCCTCTACTGTACAGGTGTCCCATCCCAGGGGACTGCAGATGGGCCCACCATGCCAGCCTCACAATCATACCTGCAAACCCACTCTGGGCATTTGGCCTGGAGCTTAAAGGCATTCATTCCAATGAAGCCCTTCTCCAGCAGCCACTCCCCGTCACTGGCTGTGACGGAGTCCTGGGGTCTCCTCTTTGAGCTGGGATTAGGCATCCTCATGAGACCCTGTCCCCTGGGATGCCGACAGGTCCATGCCAAGCCCACAGTTGAAAACAAGCTCTGCACAGAGCTCCCTGTATGGTAAAAGTCAGGGCTCCCCAGGCCTACTGTGTGACCAGGCACTGTCGGGCCATTGATAGCACCGTCAGTCCAGCTCTGCTCGGGATATGTTCCTATCCCATGTCTCAGTTGAGGAAAATGGGATCATTTGTAACATTGTAATCTGGGGGGGTTAAGTGACTTGCCCAGGGTTACACAGCTAATAGCTGGAGCATGAAATTAAGCCCAGGTTTTAATTTGACCCAAGCCCTATTTTCCTTGCTGAGCCCCACATTAAAGGATGTGGAGGAGAGGGGAAGGGGTATGTCCCTGGTCCCCTCACTGAAATGGGTCCTTGATATGGTTTGGATGTGTGGTTGTCACCTCCAAATCTCATGCTGAATGTGACTCCCAGTGTTGAAGGTGTGACCTGGTGGGAGATGTTTGGGTCATGGTGGCAGGTCCCTCATGGATGACTTGGTGCCCTCCCCGTGGTAATGAGTGAGTTCTTGCTCTGTTAGTTTATGTGAGAGCTGGTTGTTTAGAAGAGCCTGACATCGCTCTTGCTCCCTTTCTTGCCATGTAAGTCATGAGCTCCCCCTTCCCCTTCCACCATAAGTGGAAGCTTCCTGAAGCTTCACCAGAAGCAATGTCGTGCCATGCTTCTTGTACAACCTGCACAATCGTGAGCCAAATAACCCTCTTTTCTTTATAAGCTACTCAGCCTCAGGTATTCCTTTATAGCAATGCAAAATGGACTGACATGCCCTTAAAGGTCATTTTACTCATCTCTGTTTACAGATGGGAAAATCAAGGGCTGGAGAGGTGACCCGCCCAGGGTCACATGGCGAGACAGGGACAGCACCAGGACCAGACCCGAGATGTCCACGTCAAAGTGGCATGCTCTGAGAGGCAGCACACACAAAATAACCCTGCATTCAAATTCCAGGAAGCCTTTAGGGGTCACCCAGCTGGGCCTGGGGGTGCAGGGTCAGTGCTGAGTCCTGGGCAGGGCCACTGGCCTCTCTGAGCTTCCTGGCTCCAGGCTGGGAGGCACAGTGCAGGGTGGACTGTGGCCCCTCGGCCTGGCATGCCCTTAGCTCTGCTCTCTAGTGGCTGTCCCCGTAGCTCTGTTTTGGAGCAGCAAAACCAGTTCCACCTGCTGGTAGGGGTAGGTTGGCTCCCAACATGTCCCCAGTGGGCCTCTCTTGAGCTCAAAAGCCAAGCTGTGCCCAGTCACACCTCCAAATGCTTCCTGGCCCCCATGCAGCAACTGCATTTAGCTGCCTTCCCAGAAATTCCTGCATGCTTATACAGCCCTTCCCTCTGGGGCCCAACAATGCCACAGCCTGTTCTATCAACCACCAGCCGTTTTCCTTTGAGCAGTCTCCTTTTACTTATGCACATTTACTTGAAAAAGAAACTTCCTATTACTATCCAAAATGGAAACTCAGAATCACTTGCTATAATTAGAAAGTAGCTACAAAAATAAACACAATGAAACCGATCACTGTTATTACACCCTAACCGGCTTTTACCTGAGACAGGCCCTGAGCCTGAGGCTGATGGTAGACTTTTGTTAAGGGAGACAGACAGACAGAGACAGAGAAATAAGCATTGAAGACCTGCAATCACCAAGCTGAGATTTCTCTTTGATTTACTCAGAAGGACTGGAAAATGTTGTCCCACGAAAGGAGGTACATTTCTCACCACGTAGCGCTGATCCTCCCGTGTTGCCTGTGCGTTGCTGCAGACCATCTGGGGTCTTGCCCAAGTGCCCTGAAGACTTTACTCCCTGGCTTCCTGGTCCCCAGGTCGTGTGTTCAGCCCTGTGTGCTCTCCAGCTCCTAAGTCGTGGGCCTGGTTTCAGCTTTGATTGCCCACTCTTAGCTTTCAACCCATAGGCTCCGGCTCCTGACACCACACCCTGATATCAAGACCCTCAGATGGAGTAAGTGTTCTGGGCTGGTTGAAGTCTGGAGCCGCAGTATGTCCTTGAGTGGGTCCCCCCATCCTGCCACCCATCTAGCTGTTGCCCCCATGGTAAGAGCAAGAAAATGCCCTCCTCTCCAAAAGTCCCTGCACCAAGCCCCCATCCCAGTCAGCTCCCAGGTTCGGCCCCCTCACTAGCTCCAGGCTGGGAGGGACAGTTCAGGGTGGACTGTGGCCCCTCAGCCTAGCATGGCCTTAGCTCTGCTCTGTAGTGGCTGTCCCCATAGCTGGAACTGTTTTGGAGCAGCAAAACCAGTTCCACCTGCTGGTAGGGCTAAGATGACTCCCTACACATCCCCATTGTGTTGGTGTTGGGAGCCGTTATCTCACTGCTCGTTTTCTCAATAACCAACCATCCGTGGCATTCCTATGTCCCAGGCCTTATCTAGATCTGGGGATACAGCAGTGACCAGGACAGAACTGGTCCCCGCCTCATGGAAGTGAAGTGTCAGGAGGCCTCTCCCAGAGCAAATGGAAGCTGACACAGAATGGTGTCCTCAGCCAGGTGGTCAGGGAAGGCTTCTCAGAGGAGGCGCTGTTCAAAGAATTACAGAGCATACAAAGGAGCTGGCCCTGGGAGCACAGGGAGGGGAGAATTTTAGGCAGAGGGATAGCAGGAGCACAGCCCTGAGGCAGGAAACCACCCCCCCACCACTACCCTCGGCATCCTCAGTTCTGGTTTGCACTTAGAAACAGGACAAGTCCAGGACATACCCAGCCTGACGTGTCACCCTGGCTGTGCCAGCTGAGAGAGTGGGCTCCAGGCACTAACAGAGAAGCCTTGCAAGGCAGATCCATGCACCGCCTGCCTCCAGTTACTGCTAATTACAAAGGAAATGAGCTGGGAGCTTGTGTGTGGGCCGTGCGGGCCCTTTTGGTTACAAGCCACAAAAACCCAGGTTAACCTGAGGAGGAAGGAATTTATTATCTGTAAAGTCCAGGAGCGGCTAACTGTACACCAAACAGGATCCAAGGACCCACACTTTGTCATCTCATGTCTCTCTCCCTTTCCCACTTTCGCTTTCTCTGTCTCTTCTTAGTTCTGCTTTCTTCTGCTGTGCCTTTGCTCTCCAGAGCTCTCTCCTGGCAGTGACAAGATGGCTGCAGCAGCTCCAGCAACCTCAGAGGACTCCCCCATCCAGGGTCCTTGTGAGCTCCTCATCTGTAGGATGTGCAGTAAACACTCACATGTCCTTTCCTGAGGAAAGGGGTGGGGGCCAAGGGGCAGCCTCTACACCCTCACAGTGCAGCAACCTTAGTTAGCTCACCCATCAGGGCAGACGTGGGCAGAAATCATGTTTTGGCATATTGTTTTATAATCTGCTTTTTAAATTGTCACTATATATTATGAGCATTTCCCTATAATATATAATATTCTTCCACATTATGTTTAATGGTTTCATTGTATTCTAATGCATATTCTATAGTTATTTTAACCCCCCCACAATGTTACAAGATTTCCTTATTTGGGGCAACACTGTTGCAAACACTGCAAACACTTAGACCCATATGCCCTTTTTGTGTGCACTCTTATGGCAACTTCTAACGGTGGCATTTCTGAATCATAGACACTTTTTTGACTTTTACATATTTTATTTTTTTAGTTGACAAAAAGTGTACGTATTTATGAATCATAAACACTTAATGATTTTGCTATTACTTAATTTTTCTCTCTTCAGAAAGGCTGTATTCACTCCTCCACCAGCTAAGTGTGAGAGAGGCC